TTGATAAATATAGTTGAGTATCATCCGCATAACAATGAAAATGTACAGAATGATTCCTTATAATATTGCCTAACGGAAGCATATATAATGTGAACAAAATAGGTCCGAGCACTGAGCCCTGTGGCACTCCATGGCTAACTTTGGTTTGCGTGGAAGATTCATCGTTGACACGTACAAACTGAGAGCGTTCAGATAGATAGGACCTAAACCAGTCTAAAGCAGTTCCCTGTATGCCAACTAAGTGCTCTAGTCTTTGCAACAAGATGTCATGGTCGATAGTATCAAATGCAGCACTGAGATCGAGCAAGACAAGAATAGAGACACGTCCCTTGTCAGAGGCTATTAGAATGTCATTTGTGACTTTAACCAGAGCTGTCTCTGTGCTATGATGTGTTCTAAAGCCAGACTGAAAAGCTTCAAATAAATCATTGTTTTTTAAATAATCACACAGCTGTTTTGTGACTGCTTTCTCAAGAATTTGTATTTATTGATTCCTTGTCATCAATCCTTAGTATGGACATTTTAAAATGGTTTGAATATGGTTCACATAACCAGCTTTCTACCTCCAGTAGAAACTCTGTTATATTCCCGCAGATGCTGTAATAGATTTGTAAATTATATATCCTCTGCTTGCCTTAATATTTCATAGAGAAAGCTAAAGGAAGTTTTATTTCTTACAAGACAAAAGGAATATATTAGAAACTCTAGCTCATAATACAAGATGTGTGCAACAATGGATAGTTGTCCCCTTGTGCAGGTTTTTGATTGAAAGCTTTTTCTTACATTCAGATAACTGCAACAGAAGCTGTGAAGCACATTCCCACTCTTTGTCACTATGACACTTTGTGCTTTCCTGTTCTCCTCACCACACAGAAGCCTTTGCATTCACTCTTGTTAGCAGAGGCTTTGGATTGGTTGAGGCAGGACTATGAAAAGATCTTTAGCAAGTCGATTCCTGCCAAGAGGGGCGCAACGCCAGGTTTATTAACAGGGTGTCCGCGGGGTCTTAAAAAGTCTTAAAAGTTGATAAAAACAATTTAGCGAAAATTAAGGATATTAAAAAGTATTAAACAGCATTTTCCAAGGTATCACATTTTGTAGCTTGTTTTCAATAAGTCTATAAATGGTCCAAAGAGGTTGTATTCTACAGTTTGCCTGAATGTATTCATGGCGTAGGTGTGTAGTGTGATTCTGTGTAGTTTATTTATGGCATCCCGTTGGATTTGACGTCATCTGAACAGGACAGCGCACGCTCACTGCTTGATAGCGCGCAAAGTCCCAGGCTCCTCCAACAGTGCAACACAATAAAACAGATCAAATCAGTTAGTTGAATGAAATAAAGGAATTGTGATTGTGATTTATGTCTCAATAATATTGATTTAAATGCATTCCTTTTTTTCCTCCAGTAGGATGGCCAACATGGGTTCGATGCGTATTCTCATCAAGGGAGGGAAGGTGGTCAACGATGACTTCACCCAGGAAGCAGACGTCTACATTGAGAACGGCATCATTCAGCAGGTACACCACGTTCACATGCATTCTTACTCAAGACCCCGCTTTCAAATATACTACACCCTTATTTCTTTAAACACACACACACACACACACACACACACACACACACACACACACACACACACACACACACACACACACACACACACACACACACACACACACACACACACCCTCTTTGACCCACACACTCTCTGCCCAGTGTATCCCCAGCTGTTAGTGTGACTCACTTCACAATAATACAGTATGAGGAGAATGAACCCTGTGGCTGTACATGATGATAGTAAACGCTATAATTAGCTCGCAGAATGTTGTCATGGCAATAAGAATCGGTTCATGTGGAGAGGATGATTCAGACCTGGAAACTCGATTGTACTTTATGAAACACGTTAAGGGTTACACAAATGATAATAGTACTTTAGATCGATAAGTCACTTTTAAAAGGTTATAAGAATAGTTTTAAGATGTTTCTGTATATCCTTGATGCTATCATGCTATCACCTATAAGCACTTTTCAGCTAAACGCAACAACATGCTCACTAATTTGCCTATGTTTGCAGCTATAATGTTTATCATGTAACCATCTTGGTTTAGCATGTTAGTAGGAATGTCATGGCTCAATGTCATTTAGGTATCTGACAAATCTAAATGTTGACCTGATGTTCGCGATAGATTCAAGATAATTGATCACCACAGTTTTTACAATTAATCTGAAGGAGGTGATCAATATGTGTACTACATTTTATAGCAGTTCAATCAGTAATTGTTATGACATTGTACTAAAAATTCCTAATTATAATATCTCTTAATATTTCAGTATGAAAAGACAGTTTATTCTCAGCGCTAGATAAAAACATTAGGAATGATCCTCTGGGAATCATTAATGTCTTTATGAAACTCCTCGAAATACATCCAGTAAATGTTGAGATGTTCCACATGATTAGTGAACATGTAATCCTAATGAAGCACTTACTGTGGCTGTGGTGTAATCCATTCAGTATTAACTCCTGTCTTTGATTGGCCCTCTTTACTATGACCACTCTATTCACAGTTTAATGGACTAGATTAAAAGCACATAGACTCAAACACCAATTGTCCTTTATAGGTCCTCCTGGTTCTAGTCTGTGGTTCACATTATACTGTATGAAAAAGAAACACTCATGGATAAAGTTAATGTTAAATGTGGTGCTCGTGCTCTCTGTGGCAGGTTGGAAAGGAGCTGATGATACCGGGCGGGGCGAAGGTGATTGACGCCTCTGGAAAGCTGGTGTTGCCGGGCGGAATAGACACCAGTGTGCATCTGCAGCAGACCTTCATGAACGCCAGCATTCAGGATGACTTCTACAGCGGGACCAAGGTATAAACACACAACACACACACACACACACACACACACACACACACTGACAAAGCTCTCCAGCATGCCTGTAATTGAACACATTTAGAAACCAGAGACAGCTGTCACACACAGACATACTTTGTCTCTCTCTGCCGTGTCTACATGCAGATCTCCACCCTGCTTCATTCGATCGTCAACACTAATGACCACATGTGATGCAAACACAAACAGCTGTCACACGTTTTTGGGTGTGGATGCAAAGACTTCTGTCACAGCTGTTCAATCTTTTAATGCACACAGGGTTAATTCGTTTATTTTCGATGGATGCTCTGCGTGTTTTCCACTGAGGCTCAGAGCAGAGGATGATTTCATAATTAGGAGACTTAAACATTCAAAAGAGGGAGCGTAGTTGTTGCCTGCAGCAGTGCATTCTGGAGGTTTTTGTGGGCTGTTTTTTTGTTGGGGTTTCTTTTCCCTGGTTGATTGAAGTCAAAGGCGTAAACTCAGTGTATGATGGTGTGGCAGAGGCTACATAATGTAAGCTAGGAACAAAGGTCCAAAAGAAATCCATTTTTCAGCCTTGTCTCAAAAAGTCAATTATTGGCTATTTCACATTAAGGACCAACAATCCTTCTTAAGACAGTTCCTACATGAGGTCAAATTGTTCAGACTGTGGTGTGGTTAACATCTTCTAGAGCAGGTTTGAAACGTTATTACCTGCAGGGCGTTGCAGTGAAATGAGGTCAGAGTCTGATGGAATGCCAGCTGAAATGGGGTGAGAGGAATTTGGGGGGGATTGAATCATCCGTATGCCAGCTTTTCCTCCCCCTTAACTGACCCTGCTGCATAGCAACTAACCCGCTCTTAGGCTACAAATGTGTGCACGCAGGAACATGGCAGAATTGTCTGATCTCTATGGCGACTGCGTTACTGTGGCAACGGCTCATGTGCAAATTGTGAATGGACCCCAAAACTATTTCTCTCAGCATCCTCTCTCCCTCCTGTCGTTTTGTTACAGTGCTCTCCCCCTCTCACGCTTTCCTTCCTTCCTCTCCTCTTCTCTCCCCCTACTGTTTCCTCTGCATCTCCCCCCCCCCGTGTGTGTGTCCCCCCCCCCCCCAGCAGGAGGGCAGAGAACATGCAATGTAGAAACCTGTCAGCGCAGCGTTTATGCATCTAGCGTTAAAGTTGTGTGACCAGATATTTAGCTATACTGTATGTACACTTTAAATGAATTGATCTCGGATAAAAAACGAACAAATATATATGTTATATAGTTTTGAAAACCAAAACATGATCTGCCTACCACAGAAAAAGCGGGGAAAGACACGAAATGTAGGGAAAGAGAGCTGGGGAATAGAACGCAGGTGTAGTATGCGCCATGGGTCTAATCTGTTATGTTAACAAAGAATGAATATTCTACTCAGCACTGAGAGGGGCTGATCACAGAGCTGCAGTGTAATCTGTCCGACACACTGATAGCCTTTCCCAGAGTTCAACATACAAAAATCGTCTCATCCTCTCAGATCAGACATGTCTCCCCCTCTCTCTCTCAGTCTGCTTCACTTTCTTCTCAGGGGATTGTCTTCACAGGAGGCGTCAGGGGTCTGTAATAGAGCAGGGGATTCATGATGAAACACTGTTTGGGGTTTATGTGTAACCATTCACTTAAGCTGTGCTGGCAATGATCAGTAATATGTTTAAGGGGGGAATACATTTGGTCAGGTTTACTGTGGCTTGGCAAGGGAGCTATTAGATTCAAACCATGTATGATCATGTTGTACTACAGGATAACAAAACAAGAACAGTCCAAATGGAATGAGTACTAGGTCAAATTATTAATCTGGCAGTCATTTGGTGTTTTTTGTCAATTTGTACAACTTGAAAAAATCAATTCAGTGGGAAGGAAAAGGCTTTGTCTGCTCGTAATCACAAACCTTTTATAATGGATTGTATGAAAATAATAAATGAGGTTGTTACTATGGAAATGGCTATAAAAAACAGCATGTGTCTTCGAGGCTGGTTTGTACGCCGTGTCTGTCAGCTTCGTTCTGCTCAGCAACACCAGTTACAAACCGTTTCATCAGAACACAACACTGACTGAGCATTTACTGCAATTTATTTTAAATCGTCAGCAGGTGTTGAATGTAGGACATCTAATTTTGGATGCAGCTTAAAAAGAGGAAACTGTCAGCAGGAAGAAAGACATATTTTCCTGCAGACAGTTTCTTTTTTTCCTTTCTGTTGGAATTGTCTTCGGTTCTGGCTTCTGAAACGCTCATAATATAATATAAATACACGTAGCTTTCCGACATATTTTCTCTCTTCTCTCTCGCTATTGTTCATTTTTATTCCACTATCCTTCTTCTTCCGTGAAATGCACTGGCAGTAAATCTTAATTAAGGCCGACACACATCCCACATTCCCCAGCTGTGTCCATGTCCTCTGTTCTCTCTCCGTCACACACACACACACACACACACACACACACACACACACACACACACACACACACACACACACACGCACACGCACACGCACACGCACACGCACACGCACACGCACACACACACGCACACACAAATACACACTGACAGTGATCACTCTTAACACACACACATATATCCAGAGACCTTCGATGCTGACGCTGCAGATGATTCGGACTGGTTACTATGGTAATGGAAAACTTGATAATTCGTTGGCTGGTGGAAATGTCACTCGAAACCCGATGCCCCGCCCCTGTCTGCCACATGTCTGGAGTGACTCAACGCTGAGACATTAACCAGCGTTGTGTTTAAATCAAGTAGCATTTCATTCAGGCTGGTTGTAGAAATGATAGAGAGGTGATGCTTGAATTCTGGTTGCTTTTTCTTTATATGAGGTGAAAATAAATGAAAGAAAGTCTGCAGGGATAGCACACGTTCATTTCCTATTTCATAAATGATTACTGCCCATGACTCCTAAGTGCAATATCCCTGTTAGACTCTGTATGGCCAGTGCACATTTTGAATGGAGAAAAGAGTATGAGGAGAAAGCAGGGAGATGAGGAGGAGGAGGAAGAGGAGGGTGGGGACATGCTACAGGCATGGCTGAGCACTATCTGTTGTCATAGCTACAGCAAAGTGCATTTACCAATCAGCCGAGCGAAACGAGTCACTGCAGACCGCTCCCTTCTCTCCATCACTCCGCCATCTTTCATCTCATCGTTTCGGTTTATTCTACCTCCCTGACTTTCTTCATTGCCACATTCACATCCTCTTCTTCTCCTTTTCATGCCTCATATTTGTCTGCTTCAGTTTACTGTGTGTGAAAAACAGGCACCGGGTTTAGAAAAGATTTTTTTAGAAGCAGTAAAGTTTGGAAGTTCTTACCAAGGCTCTTCTCGGGGGCTCTTTTTTTCTCCTGATCACTTATTTTGAATCGTATACGGAAACCAATTTCTAAGATTGTTCCAAGAAACCAGACCTTTTCACGTTATCCATTTGTTTTGATTTTGAAACACAACTAGTAACAAGTACACTTTATGATGATGAGACAGCAGTTCATAAGGAAAGACTATGGCTCATTGTCACCAGCACAAACAGTGTCTGTGCTTTATAGTGGATCCATTGTTCTCACTTCTAATCAATCTTTCTTGTTTCTCTTCCTCTCCCTCCACTCGTCTCCCTCCTTGCTCCCCCCCCCCCCCCCCCAGGCGGCTCTGATGGGTGGTACCACCATGGTGATGGCTCTGGCCCTGCCTGAACAGCACTGCTCCCTGGTGGACGCCTACGAGAACTGCAGAGCTCTGGCCGACGCCAAGGCCTGCTGCGACTACGCCCTGCACGTCGGGGTCACCTGGTGGGGGCCGAAGGTAAGACCCAAAAACAGAGCATGGAAACTCTTCTTTGTCTTCAATAAACACATTTTAGTCTTTGCAGTTGTCTTCCTCGTGCTTTTATCTTTTCTAAATGAATAATAAAGCAGACAAAGCCTTTTCACATGTGGGTGAAGTGTGTAATGACCTATATTAAACCCCACACGATGTAGGTTAACACACATGCCCACTGGGCACGTTAGGCAGATTGTATGAGTCAACGTGCCTCACCGAGCCTTCGGCATGTGCCACATACTATTACATATAGTGCAATGTTCAACAGCATACTTGGGGCTGCAAAAATGTATACTAAGCATTTTCAAAAACTCTGGTAGTTATTCTTATTTACTGATACATTTTTGGTGTATTAAAAACATTTTAAAATGCCGTCTTTGAATTCCCAGAGCCCAACATTATATGTTTTACTTTAACTGAAACCAACAGATATTCAGTTTATAAGGATTTGATGATGTGTGTGTATAATGCACTGCCAGTATAACAATTACTGTAAGTCTGCAATTACATTTACATTTTAGGTTCAGTGTGGTCACTAAAGGGCTGCCACATTTGCTCAAATATGTCGATTAAAGTGTATCTTGTTGTGCCGTATGACATCTTAGCTTTTTAAATTAAGGAAGATCCTAAATACTGTATGCAGTACTTCTTTCATACCCTTTCATTGATGACATTTTCTCACTTATTTGAATTGTGATGACCCCCTTTTAATGTAGTATCGATGTTTTATTAGTATTTATCGCTAAACACTATATAGTTTACTTTTATTGCATTTTGAGTGAATTACATTTTTTCTTGCAGTGAATGTCTGTGTTGGATTCCTGACATGCAGCAATGTGATCTTTCTCTGGCTGCTCTCCAAGCTCATTTCATGCCCCATATAACACACACACACACACACACACACACACACACACACACACACACACACACACACACACACACACACACACACACACACACACACACACACACACACACACACACACACACACAGTTCTATGCCCTCATTCACATACACTGACATATGCTCTCCCCTGCTCCAGACTTTGTTCTTGACCTCTGACCTTTGCCCTGTGCTCAGGTGCACAATGAGATGGAGACCCTGGTGAGGGAGCATGGAGTGAACTCCTTCCAGATGTACATGGCCTACAAAGACTCGATGATGCTGAGGGACTCGGAGCTGTACCAGTCGCTGCAGACCTGTAAGGACATCGGGGCCATCGCTCGCGTCCACGCCGAGAACGGAGAGCTGGTGGCAGAGGTGAACGTCAACCAATCACACACATATCCCTCCATGTTCTCCTTCTAATGAGAGATGGTCAGCACAGTGACAATTATAACTGCACAGATTAATTATGCCACCAATCCACATGATGGATTTTGAAAAATGAACGCACAGATCAGCACAGACAAAACATGTACATTATGTCTTTGGAGTAGAAGATCTTAAGTGTGAGTAAAAAACACATAATGCTTACGGTTTATAACACCTGCAAGTCCAAAATAAGCTGTGGAGGTACAAACAATGTTCTGACAACAAGAAAGTCCTGTAACCTTGTGCAGTTTAGAACACAGACAGACTTCTGCAATAAGTCCCTCTATAGAGAGGCGAAGTCTCGCCCATCTACTTCTGATCCATGGGACCTTATTTTGGAAAAAGTATGTATTGAAGTCAATGGAGAGAAAAAAGTTATCTTTCGATCCCATTTGAATTGTGCCACGAATTACACATATGATGTTTGTCGATCTTAAATAATAATTTCCATGTAAAAAAAGTCACAGTTTGTCGTAAAACTGTTGAAATATAAGACTATGAAAAATACGCAACTAGAAAGACTACAAATCCCGGCTCTCACGGAACCGACTAACTCCCCTTGTGTGTACGTACAGCTCTCAACGTGCCCAGACTTGTAGTGATTTTCACCTCTTTTAATACTTTCCGCCTCATTCTGAAAGAAAGAAGTGAAATGTTTCAACGTGACGGCCGTCTTGGTGTGTGGAGCGAGACGGGAGATATAGGTCATTGAGCGGTTTCACACAAAACAAAGTGTTACTTCACAGTTTTACGACACATTTAAAAAAAATTGACTTGCAAAATTATCTTTTAAATTGACAAACATCATATGTGTAATTCGTGGCACAATTCAAACAGGAATCGAAAGATAATCTTTCTCTCTCCATTGACTTCAATACATACATTTTCTGAAATAAGGTCCCATGGAGGTCCCCCGGAAGGGGAGGGACTTTGCCTCTCTATTGCATCTGGTGCTATGATAATGTAAAAATACAAATAAAGACGGCAGTTATTTATATATAATAGTGAATGTTTTTATGAAAAGTCAACAACAATGATTGTGTTTTGATTCAAGTTATGTTATATGTGTGTTATTAGGGTGCCAAAGAGGCTCTGGAGCTGGGCATCAATGGACCAGAGGGGATTGAGATCAGTCGACCAGAGGAGGTAAATTCACATCTGAGGTCATTTCCTATCAACCCAGTTTTTATTTCTTTAGATTTTGTGCTTCTACATTTATGTGAATACAAATAAGTTGGTTTTCTGCTCATCATTGATATGGAGTACTTGTTTGAACTCCTCTGTCTTATTTTCTACAGCTTGAGTCTGAGGCTACTCACAGGGCTATCACCATCGCCAACAGGGTAAACAGATGAAACAAATATTATCTTGTCTGTGTGTATGTGTCTGTCTGTCTTTGATAAATGAATGAATGCTCTTGTGCTTGCAGGCTCACTGCCCGATCTACCTGGTGAATGTGTCCAGTGTGTCTGCCGGAGACATGATTGCTGCTGCTAAGATGCAAGGTGAGAGACAGTGATGTTCATATAAAGAAGATGATAAAAAAGATTATTTTAACTAACTTCTGTGGTTTTCTGTCTGCAGGTAAAGTGGTCCACGCAGAGACCACAGTAGCTCATGCTGTTCTGAACGGGATGCACTACTACCACCAGGACTGGATTCATGCTGCCGCCCACGTCACCGTCCCTCCTCTCCGCATCGACCCCAACACACCCAGCTACCTCATGGGCCTGCTGGCCAAGTATGTGCTCCCAACAACATTTCTTTTGTCATACTGGTAAATGATTATAGACAATTCAGATTGTTAAAATGCATAACCTGTTTCCAGTGACTCTCTGAGTGTGGTGGCATCGGAGCACCGTCCATTCAGCACCAAGCAGAGAGCTCTGGGTAAGGAGGACTTCACAAAGATCCCTCATGGGTTGGCTGGAGTCCAGGACAGGATGAGTGTCATGTGGGAGAGGGGAGTGGTACGTACGATACACACAATCACATCACACACACACAAAAACAACTTGTGTTTTGTCTGTGTCAAATTTCCTTTGTTAGTTTGTGTCATGTTTTGTCAACTTCATTTTTAGTTAGAATACATTTCTGGGTTTTTCTCAGCCAAAGAAAAACTGTATATTAACGTCTATTTTGATTACATTCAATTCTTTACTCTCATAATTACCTTAAGTATCAAAGTCCCCACATCAGCATCGCCTTAACCGGGCCGCAAAACCAACGCAAACTAAATAATATGCCGTAGAATCCTCTGACAATAACAACAATTCACAGATTATTAACTAAATGTCCTGGTTACATTTTTTCTTACATGTTTTAAATTATTACCTGCAGGTTACAGGAAAGATGGATGAGAATCGTTTCGTGGCAGTGACAAGCTCTAATGCTGCAAAGATCTACAACCTGTACCCACGCAAGGGTCGTATCATCCCCGGAGCTGACGCTGATCTGGTGGTCTGGGACCCAGATGCAGCGAGGTACACAGTTATATTCAAACAGGAAGACACAAAATACTGGCTGCTAATGCTTAATTGAGTTAAACATGTATTGATATTAAAGATCCCCTATTATACTGTTTTTCATCAATATATTATAGGTCTCAGAAATATACAAAACATGTCTTTGAAGTGTTTGGATCCAAACACCAAACAGATCATTGCAGCACTACCCATAATCCCCTCTGTTTCAGCCCTGTTTCCAAAGTGCTGATTCTCTGTCTGTTACTTTAGATGAAAATAAGGAGCCCCTCCCCACGCCCCTCTGAGAGATATTTGGTTACAAAGAACACAAAGGTGCTCTAGGAGGAGATTCAGGTGATAAGGTGGGGGGGGGTTACCTTGGTTGCTGATTGGCCAAAACATTAAACAAGCCAAAACATCCTTATGACATCATGAAGTGGCCAAAATCTGATCTGATCATTTTCAGACAGGTTTTTATAGAAATGGATCAGGACGAAAAGAGAGAGAATCTTTGTTCCTGAAACTTTCAGAATCTCTTTACACAGAGGGGACACATGTTGATGTAGAAGAGACATGAAGAAGAGGGGACACATGTTGATGTAGAAGAGACATGAAGAAGAGGGGACACATGTTGATGTGGAAGAGACATGAAGAAGAGGGGACACATGTTGATGTAGAAGAGACATGAAGAAGAGGGGACACATGTTGATGTAGAGGAGACATGAAGAAGAGGGGACACATGTTGATGTAGAAGAGACGTGAAGAAGAGGGGACACATGTTGATGTAGAAGAGACATGAAGAAGAGGGGACACATGTTGATGTAGAAGAGACATGAAGAAGAGGGGACACATGTTGATGTAGAAGAGACATGAAGAAGAGGGGACACATGTTGATGTGGAAGAGACATGAAGAAGAGGGGACACATGTTGATGTAGAAGAGACATGAAGAAGAGGGGACACATGTTGATGTAGAAGAGACATGAAGAAGAGGGGACACATGTTGATGTAGAAGAGACATGAAGAAGAGGGGACACATGTTGATGTAGAGGAGACATGAAGAAGAGGGGATACATGTTGATGTAGAAGAGACATGAAGAAGAGGGGACACATGTTGATGTAGAAGAGACATGGAGAAGAGGGGACACATGTTGATGTAGAAGAGACATGAAGAAGAGGGGACACATGTTGATGTCGAAGAGACATGAACAAGTGGATTTTGCATAATAGGTGACCTTTAATGTCTACTGTGTGTGTGCAGGACGATCTCTGTGAGCACTCAGGTGCAGGGCGGAGACTTCAACGTGTACGAGGGTCTGCGCTGCCACGGCGTCCCCCTGGTCACCATCAGCCGAGGACGCCTGGTGTGTGAGAACGGTGTGTTCATGTGTGCCGAGGGATCCGGAAAGTTCTACCCTCAGCGCACCTTCCCTGACTACCTCTACAAAAAGATGGTGCAGAGGGAAAAGGTGTGTTTACTTTAAATGAATCTGATGACTTTGTGAAGAAAATATGTTCGGCATTGCTGCAGACACACCCATCCTACTGTGTCTATCTGCACTGGTTTGGCAGTCGATAAAAAGGATTTAATGCTCCTCTGTTCGCTGACACAGGTTTTTCTGCCGTCTGCCAACCCCTATTACAGCCAGCCTCTGCAAGGATGCTGTTCTGTTTCATTTACACTAATAGATTATACTGCTAACCCATGGGACTTACTGTGCAATGCTTTCAATATTCATTTGTATCAAGTGGCTATAAATCCCAGAATTAAAGATGCGGGAGCATGAGGACAGATAATCTGTGTCATATATCTTAACTGCTCTGCTCCTTTAAAAGTGTATCTGTACTCTAGTTTATCTACTGTAACTATAAAAGTAAAAACGATTAGGTTTAGTCATTTTTTTGTGAATGCTCATTTTTATTAAAACGTTAAGTGCCAGGTCATTTAAACATGTTTTTATTTGCATGATGAAAGCTATTAAAGGTGGGGTAGGTAAGTTTGAGAAACCGGCTCAAGATACCCTTTTTGTTATATTCCATGGAATGCTCTTAACATCCCGATAGCAATGAATATCTGAAGTGCTTTGACAAAAAATCTATAAAAAAATGTCATCTGTGGAAGCCGTAGCGCTGTAAAAATCACGACCAATCATCTGAGCCGGCCCGGCTAAAGTAACTGGATGGCCTACCTGCCTGTCAGCCTTCCATCTGTGCACAAACTTATCTCGTGCCCTCATTGGTCATGTGCGCGTTCGTGTGTGTTGGAGGAGGGGCTCTGTAAGGAAGTGGCAGATTTTTTCCGGCTGTGTATTTTCAAATTCTAGCGCACTCGAGCTGGTTTCTCCAAAATTACCTACCCCACCTTTAACAGAGCTTCTATTATTGCTATTACTATTATATTATATCCAGGAACACCTCACCATATGACAAAGTTTGTGTTCACATTTCTTCATAAAGAGAACATTTGAAATGTACTAATTTATTTGATGATGACTAGCAGAAAAAAGGGTATAAAATCACAAACCTGTATATATGTGTGTTTGCTGTATTACCTGTTAACATCCCCCCCCCTCTCTCCCTGTTTCAGACCCAGGCGATTAAAGGGGTGGACAGGGACCCTTACTCTGGTGATGTAGCCAAGTTGGCAAACACCATGAAGAAGGAGCTCGGTCTGGGCCCCATGGATGGAGACACCAAAGGCGTCCCCCGCGCCCACCAGGGGGTCCGAGACCTCCACGAGTCCTCCTTCAGCCTCTCAGGTAGCTGGAAGAAACATAATAACATTTGAAGGGGCTATATTTTTCAGTAACTGTCAACAGGAAGACCACGTGTGCGATACAACACACATCAAAGACTGTGATATTGCACTCAGGAACTTTTTTATTTTTTTTAAAGAAAAGTGAAATGCTATTTTTAGGCAATAGCATAGGTCTCAGATATATACAAATATATAAAAAACATTTTTGCATTTTGCTCAAAATACCGAACAGATCACCCATTCTAGCCATGCCTCATATCCCTCTATTTCACTTCCTGTTTCAAAAGTGCTGATTTGGGGAATAAAGCTTTAAAAAAAAAAAAAGGAGGGGTCTGAGCTCATGCGGGACCCGGCAGCTACTGTCTAAACTAAATACTGCCGTGATGAAACGCCATATCATGGATTATCAAGGATTCTCTCAGTATGGAGCTCAAAGGCTTTCTCTCTTGCTGGTTATACCACAAGGTGAGTTCCTTTCTATTTCCTGCTTCTTCACACACATGCTCTCCAGTACAGGTTAGCTCTGAGTGTTAGCGATGCTAATATGAACACCGACCATATTACGTCCAAAACAGTCGGGCATTGTTTCTGATAGCAACGTTTCTGATTGGGCCGTGGGTCCACATTTCCAATATTACGTCATATCGGACGCAAATCTGGATCAGCTCCGCTGGAAAAAAGAGGTTTTATTTTCTGACGCTGCGTGAGTTCCCTGACGCACCGGGGACACATATTTATGTATAAAAGACATACAAAAGTACCTTTTGCATGATATGTCCGCTTTAAGTCAATGGACCAAATTGAACGCCAGGCATATTGATAATATTTTTTAACCTCTAGAATATGGACTCTAAAAACAAGGTATTTCAAAACTTCCCCTTGAAATGTGACAATCTGAAAGGGAAAATTTTCACTATTTTCTGACATTTTATCGACTGATTTTAGAACGATTCAGGATTAATCGAAAGGGTGACGATTGGTTCCTGTTCTGTTTATTTTTTTGATATTTCAAATGTAACTATTCATTATTTTATTGTGTGGAAAATAATATCCTTTCTTTTTTTTTATTCACCCAGCAGTTTTTTGTATTTTAGCAGTATAAAGCAAAACAAGAACAATTGACCCTTCTTATTTTTTTTGCTAACCTATACTTAAGAACCTAAAAAACCTTCATGCCTGTAGTTTTTGTTGATTTGTGTGTTGTCATGTTTTCTCTCAGGGTCTCAGGTTGACGACCACGTCCCGAAGAGGTCCTCGGCTCGGATCCTGGCCCCCCCCGGCGGGCGCTCCAGTGGTATCTGGTAATCACTGCAGCCGGAGCTTCACCCGTCCGAGTCTCCTTGTTTTGTATTATTCTGCGCAACCAGGAAAACTGCACTGATTTTCAATCACATGATCAAAGTTAAGAGAGGCAAACAAATAAAGCACACGTCTGTGATTGGTGAAGAACTAACTGACGGTGCGCCAAAGTGACTTTTACAAATCTAATTTGTGTCTTAATTGGAGTGACTGACCTGATTATTTACACGAGAGTGAAGGGCTATATATGAATTTAAAATGTGTTGCCAAATTCAAGCTGATCATACTAACGTTAAAGTGAACTCATTATCACCCTGCTCGTATCCCGCGGAGAAACGCAAACTAAACAAACTGTGAGAGATCAAAACCAGTACAGTTTTTGAAGGTTGGAAGTGATGTCGACTGAATTATTTAAAAGTATTAACTGGATTCAGTGAAATATCTATCACCCACATACACTGTAGGCACCATAGCTTTAGACTCACATGAAGACGTGTATGGATTCTGTTTGTGATTGAACACCCACTGTGCTCGGCTTCCTGCTGCACCGCGGGTTCCTCTAACACTGTTTTTATTTCCAACGGGTGATCTGTGCTGTGTGGTGATGAAATCCAACTGCTTCATAAACACTGTGATTTTACAGCTACACTATCTATAATATCCATCCGTTTATTTCCATTACCTCTGACTGAGACAACACTCACGTATCCCAGAAACATCCTGCCTCACCTGCAACCTAGCAGGACTTTATAGACTGAGTTACAGAAGTAGTGTAGTCTTTTCTGTATGTATAGACTTTGGAAAGACTGGGGAGAAGGAAAGATAAAGAGTAAGTGATTTAAAGGGGTAAACAAGAAGGACAGCGTTCTGTTATTTTTCTGCTGATAGTACAGAACATAACATTAGGGCTTGAAATGATTTAAATAAATTAGAATCTCATTCACCAGAGAGATTACTGTCTGAGGGAAAGTAGGAGCTGCTAAAAACACCAGGGGCCTCATCCATCAAAATGTGCAAGTGTAAACGTCTGTGTTATTGCCAGTTAAGGAAATAATAAGGAAGAATATAGTAAATGAAAAGGAGTATGAACAGGAATGGAAAAAAGGGAAGAAAATTAAAGATTTAGTTGGAAAGTTTCCTTCAATCTGAGTCTCTAGGTTAGTAATTACCATTTGCACCGTTTATGAACACACTAATCTGATTGCACAGCTAATAAATGAGGATGATGATACCCTAGAGATCGCACGTAGAGGGCCCCGAAAGTAACAACAAGAAGGGATGTTATGTTGTTGAATTTCAGTAGTATCTAGAGGATTTTGAGAGTAAACTTCCTGTTTTTAGGTAAATAAAAAAGGGATTTCTTGTCCAGAGCAGGAAGATTGAGCTGCACAGCCTGAAGAAACTTTCTCTTCTCATTCCTGCCTACCAGTATTATATTTATACATGATCACCTCTTGTCTGTGAACTATATACTTAGGATGTTTGTTTGTTTTGTTTTTTAGTTGAAAGAATACATGTGCCAATGTGAATCACTCGTGCAACACCCACACCCATGCATGAAGAGCACCACGCGGAGACGGAGCAGTAAATCTCTTGCAGGCTCACAACAATGGTGCTGTTTTTTTTTTACTATAACCTACTGCTGTATACAACTACATTATTTTACTGTTGGATGGATTTGTTGTTTTGAAGGCACTGTGACTGGTTGGTGGCTGTGTGTGTTTGTAGGTTGTTGTCGTGTCGGACAGTGAAACTGTTGAATCTGTAAGTGGCTGCTTGTTTCTTACCACACGAATAAAGAGAAAAAAAATAACATCTTGTTTCCTTTGTGTCAACTTTTTTTTGTAACATATATTAATATACATAAATATATATATATTTCATACAAAAGGGGACATTGTGTCTGAGATACACTGCATAGTGACATACATGTATGCATGCATGCTATAATATGCATACCAAAATATATATAATAAATTAAAAAAATAAGAAAGCTAGAAAAGTATAGATAAATATGTATAAATTGGACTGGGCATTTAAGCCTACTTTAGTATTGTCTTTTAATCACACTTCTACTCCAATACAACTAAGTCTAAGATTAATATTCTACATTTTTACTACAGTAGCCTACATTTATTTGACTGATTAAGAATTTTGCTTACAAAAAGCTTATAAATATGATGTCTACTGTATGATAGATACATTAACCCAACTGTTTATACAAAACTGCTGACTTACTTTAGTAAGTAGTAATTATTAAGTAACATTTTGAATGCGGGACTTTCTGGTGCTAGTATGTTTATACCGATGTATACCTAAGCAAAATATCTGGATACTTCTCCCACCACAATGGCACCGAACATGGGATGCAATATCTCCATCATGGCTGCTCAAGGGGACACCAGTTTCTCCCATTAAAACGGCAAAATGCTGCAACTGCCCTGCGCATGCGCACTGCCCAAGCGGCTTAGGTGGGTGCGCAGCAGTCAGCGGTGTTATAGCAACAGAAAAGCCCATCGTCATTTAGACACAACAGGACTGCTGTGAGCCGAGAGACGCTGTCGCACTTCAGTGAGTAACATTAACTCAACTTTACTTAAAATCTGCTTCCTTACGTTCAACATCAGTTTATTTAAAGGCTTGTTTCATTTACATGTCACATACATACTTGTGTCGTCTTGTTGGCTGACAGTTATACCGTCATTGATAATGTGCGTGTGTTATGGGGCAGAAAAGGGGCCTTCAGAGGGGCGTAACGTCCGGATGGAAACACACACAAGTCAGTTATAGTTGGAAATACTTTGAGTTCTCTACTGTCATTATGGTGAAATTACATTTCATTGAAAGTGTGTACATTAAAAAATAAACAGTCAGTCGCAGAACAGGTTAGCAGTGTTAGCTAACAGCTAGCAGCTTGACAGTCACACAGCGGCTGTAACGTCAACTGTCACTACACTCGTTAACGGTACGACACCGGGATGAGGAGTTATTTACAAACACACAGGATAGTTTACGTGTGTAATTACTACATAGTCTGTAACCTACTTTAACTGCCAGACCTTATTACATCTCCTGAGAATAAACATCACCAAGTAGCCTACAATACAACTGTCCACCTGAAGCTGTTTACTTGTGGTCACATTTCGTTTATTGGATAATATAAACATGTTTGGCAAGATACATTAAAATATGATCACTTATAACTATAACGTCTGTAGTTATAACCTACTCTAACGGTTATTATATCTGCTGAATATGAGAATAAACATCTCAACGTGTAATAACTGTCCACCTGAGGCTGTTTTCTTGTGGTCAAATGTCACTATTTTAATAATAAAAACATATTTAGTAAGGTAAATCAAATAAGAATCATCTCAAAATACTGCATGACTTTCATCAGTTATTATGGAGTTATAATACGTTTTCCTCAGGTATCTCAGATCAAGTGAGCATGGTTCCTAATGCTGAACAATTGTTACCATGTGTCATCTTGGAATACATCCTTACAATGTTCTCAAATGTATGTGCAATAATGTCGATAGTATTTGCAATATTATAACCCTAACCCTTAACCTGTACTTAAAGGTCCCATGTCATGGCCATTTCTACTGATCATAATTCCATTGTTGAGGTCTACTAGAATACATTTATATTTTGCAATTTTCCAAACTCACATTGGTTTCTCACAGCATCTCTGTATAGTATGTGTATTCACTCTCTGTCCCAAACGGCTTGTTGGAGCTCCTGCCCCCCCCCTCCCTATGAGCCCAGTGTCCGTCTGCGAGACAGCGAGACACAGCTAAACCCAGCCCGAACACACACACACACCCGCAGCCTGGCTGGGAGTTTGTGTGTGTGCTCACACACATTACATTACATTACATTGCATTACATTTAGCTGACGCTTTTATCCAAAGCGACTTACAATAAGTACATTCGACCAGGAAGACACAACCTTGAAGAAAACAGAATCATATAAGTACATCAGGTTTCATAGAGCCAAACATTTCAAGTGCTACTCAACTGGCTTTAGATAAGCCAGTCCTTTATTAGTATATAAGTGCTTTGTTAATAGTTCTATCTCTCGAAGTGGAGTCCGAAAGAGATGAGTTTTCAGTCTGCGCCGGAAGATGTGCAAGCTATCTGCTGTCCTGATGTCAATGGGAGCTCATTCCACCATCCTGGAGCCAGGATAGCAAACCCACGTGTTTTTGCTGATGGGAACTTGGGTCCCCCTCGCAGTGAGGGCGCAGCGAGTCGTTTGGCTGATGCAGAGCGGAGTGCACGCGCTGGGGTGTACGGTTTAACCATGTCCTGGATGTAGGAAGGGCCAGATCCATTCAGCAGCATGGTAAGCAAGTACCAGTGTCTTGAAGTGGATTCTAGCAGTTACCGGAAGCCAGTGAAGGGAGCGGAGGAGCGGAGTGGTGTGGGAGACATTTAGGAAGGTTGAAGACCAGACGAGCCGCTGCATTCTGGATGAGCTGCAGAGGTCGGATGGCACATGCAGGTAGACCAGCCAGGAGGGAGTTGCAGTAGTCTAGGCGTGAGATGACGAGAGCCTGGACCAGAACCTGAGTCGCTTTCTGTGTCAGCTGGGGACGTATCTTCCTGATGTTGTAAAGCGTGTATCTGCAGCAACGGGTTGTAGCAGCGATGTTTGCAGTGAAGGACAGGTTGTTATCTAGGGTCACACCCAGATTCCACACCGACTCAAAGCCTCGCCGCGTCTCGCCGTCTCAGGGAGGAGAAATCGGCAGAGCTGCAGCTGAGAAAAGATTGTGTCTGTGTGTGTGTGAGGAAGTCTTAACGTAACAGCTCCACGGACGTAGCATAACGGCTCCACGGATTGGTCCATTTGGGTACGGGCACGTCACTGTACCCAGGAAGAAAATGAGGAATGTCCAACGAGGCGTTCTGGGGCAGCACAGACAGGTCTTCTCTGTGTTAGAGTTTTACTCGCTACAGGGTGTACTTTGAGGGTTTGTGACTCTGCAGACCGTTCACATGCAGAAAAACCTTCATAACAACAAGGGGACGGGTAATAACCAGAAAAGTGTGACATGGGACCTTTAAGATTTAGTTTTGTATATATATATTTGCAGCCCATAGGAGCAAATAATGATTCTAAACTTAACTTGTTTATGTGTTTTGGCATTGTGTTAAACAGCACACTGTTTAATGTTACTGCCAACCTCGTTACAAAATGTAATTGAATGTGTCTCAACTCCTTTATAGTTCTTGGCATTGTATACATTTAGCAAACTGGTGGATTTTAGATATCTGATATATGACATTTTTCACGTGTGAACCATTTATTTATACTTATGTTGCAGAGGTGTCCTGGTCCAAACATCATCATTTTCATATCTAAGAAATTGTTGCAAAAAATGTCCGTCGTGGACCAGGGTTATTTGCATGCAGTCCGTTCACAGGAAATGCTTTGCTATTGTTGGATGTTTCCTTATCCGAGCAGTCAGTGTGATAAATGGTAGCTGTGTTTGTTTAATGCCTGCTGGATTGTATATCTGGTGATCACAGCTGCCTCTGTGCAACATGACCGGTTTCAACACGCTCAACCCGGGCTAAAGGGATTAAACTGAGGCAGAGATTAGTGACCAGTGAATGACTGCTAGTTTATCTGCTGTTTCTCCTTGTTAACCTGATGGGAGCTCCTGAACAGGACACTAAACTGTACTGACCATTCAGTAGACTCACAAGCGGACAGGAAGTTGTGTTCCACTTTAATAACAAGTCGCTTTGATGTACAGGACAGAATGACTTCAAAAGCACTATGTCCTGATCATACCTACCTAGAAAAATCCCTTCATTTTCAGAAATCTAACCATATTTTTCGACATAAAACCACCATTTTTTAATTAGAAAACACAAACTTAGTTAATAATTTCCTGCATGTTATTTATAATTCGTTTTATATTCACAGACTATAATATCACAGTCAATAATAACCAACAACATTGAGTGTGAAACAGTTGTGCAGGAAACTAGGACAATAGCTTGTTTTTGCCTCATGGGCAAACATGGCTTAATCTGGTTAAAAAAAACGTTAAAAATACAACTAAGAAGCCAGGGGTCTAGATGGAGGGGCTGGAATAATAGAGTGCATTATGTTTTGCTGTAAAAGGTCAAGAATTGTGTGTTTTCAATGGGTTGAACACGTGAAGTAAAGTTTCATATTTATAGTCTAGATGTATGCATTTTGGCTACACAGTGTATTTTATTTAAAGACGTAAATAAGAGACAGACTCAACTCCCTCACCAGTACTTATGTCATGTGCATTAACACAGCCAACATTTTTGAACATTTTAAAATCCAAAAATGTGATGGATCATTGTTAAATAATGATAGATTTTAAGAGTTGGCAGTAAAACTAATTAGAAGTATTATTTTCTTTTATATTGCAGTTTCATTTTTGTTACCACAGATGTATAACATGATACTGGTTTCTATCTCCAGGTCTCTCTGTGAGGTGGTCTACCACAACCCCCTTTGAAGAGTTCACACCAAACACACACCCAGCGTAGGTGAGTAAAGAGAGAGAGAGTGAGTGAGAGAGTGAGTGAGTGAGTGAGTGAGTGAGTGAGTGAGTGAGTGAGTGAGTGAGTGAGTGAGTGAGTGAGTGAGTGAGTGAGTGAGTGAGTGAGTGAGTGAGTGTCTTTTTTTTTGCATCCACAGTGGAGGAGTTCACGCCAGGCCTGGGTGGCTTCTGGTAATGTGGTCCAGTAAACTTCCCATCCACCTGTGGCCTTCCTTTTCCACCTGGGGGTGGGAGTTCAGGGGCTGCAAACATCATCTGTCCCCAGCAGTGACCAGCTTGGAAGGCAGCTCTCTTTGTGTGTTGAATCAATGCTGCTTGTGTTGGGGGGAGTCCTTCCATTATTCTACCTTTCTGGGTGAAGAGCTGCTTGCGTGCCTGATTGACTGACTCCTGGCTGCTAGTGCGGTCATACAATACCAGAGAGCACTGTCACACTCACTTCTCTACTTCCCCTCTTCTACGACCAGGCCAAATCTGTGGCCATGATTCGTCATTCCATCGATGTGGCAAGGCAGGCATTGGAGATTCTGAATCCTGGTCAGATCACTCTGGATCAACCTCTATACGCTGTGGCTCAACTGATGGCAGCACTCAAGGTACTTGGCGACCTCCTGGAGGGGTAGCGGGTGGACAAGAGCAGTGTCATGTCCCCAGTTCCACTTCTGGTCTATCATCCTGCAGCTGGAAATAGAGTTGATGATCTATGTGCGATCAATAAGAGAGGCTGACTTCCTACTCTTCATAAATGCCCTGACCAAGATTGTGCCTTGGTTCCTTTCTCTGGGACACACCCACCATGCTGGATGGACACCAGTCCACTTGCGTGACATTATTGTGCTAAAAGATAACCATCCTGATGTCCATGGGCAGTTTCTGAAAGGAAACTTTGGTGTGAAGAAGACGACACGCAGCTTCTCTGCTATTGTCATTGACCAGGCCCACGAGCAGAACAATGCCTCTGTGAAAAGTGATGGTGGTGCTGTGGGCCTGACAGAGAACCCTGCAGCTCTGCGATCCAGAGACGGTGCTGCTCCACCATGCACACATGAGGAGGCTGATACCCGCATCCTACTGCACCTAGGAGATGCTGTGAAGGAAGGGTATAGCAAGGTGTCAATACGCACAGTTGACACGGATGTGGTAGTACTGGCAGTCACAGCAGCCCAATGCCTCAACATCACTGAGCTGTGGGTTGCCTTTGGAGCTGGGAAGAGTTTTCGGCATTTAGCAGCTCATGAGATGGCGAGGTCACTAGGTCCAGATCGATGCATAGCCTTACCAATGTTCCATGCATTTACTGGATGTGACACTGTGTCATCTTTTGGTGGCAGGGGCAAGAAGACGGCGTGGGATACATGGATGACGTTTGATGATGTCACCAGAGCCCCAGACTCCGTACACAACTGGATGGAGCCTGCTGGGGACAGATGATGTTTGCAGCCCCTGAACTCACACCCCCAACTCATCCATTATGGATGCAAAAAGGGGTGCAGTGGACAATGCAAATGTGTCAAGGCAGCAATTCAGTGCACTGCCCTTTGCCACTGTGGTGGACTGTGTTTTCAGAACTAAATCTGCATTTAGTTGAAAACCTGTAATATTACATATATATTACGTAACATCAGGGCCGCCCCTTGCTAACTTGGGGCCCCAAGCGACATTGTGAGATGAGGCCCCCCCCCCCCCCCCCCAACCGACAGGAGTGAAAAAATGTTTGCAAATATAATTCCTGTTTATTATTATTATCAACAGTTACTTTTTTATACAGTGAGGTAAATGTGCATGTATGTCGTTCAGTATTCGTTTACAGGTGAATACGTCTGCATTTCCTGCCAAATACTAGCCTCATAAAGATTCAAATATAATTAATGCAAATAAACTACTTCTACTAATAATCATAATCAATTCAATAATAAAAATACTATATTGTTTTATTATAATATAGTCAAGACAAAACATGCTTATGACATGCTCAAAAACTGATATTTCTTAAATCTGTATTCTAGTTCCCTCTGTCAGCAATGTATCAACAACTACACACACATTTCTATCAGTATTTCTCTGTGTTGTGGTTGACATGATGATGACTGTTAGGAGTTAAGGGGAGAGGCTGATCGTCACCATGAAATGTGCAAATAGACATAAAAATGAATAAAAGGGGAAAAAAATGCTCCATGTTTTTTAGGCTGTAAACTTTAACTGTTATGTAAGGCAACTAGACAGATAGTGTATCACTCTTCCTCCTGTACATCAGCAGATCAAAGGCATAACATACTTGAATGAATGGTAAATAAAGAATGCTGGAAATAACTGCATCTCCATTAGCCTATATGCTCTGCAGAGACTGCCTTCTTCATGTCGTGAATTGCAGCTGATGTTTTAATATGGCAATTGGCAATTTGACTTATACAACATTCGCAAGTTGTACATTTGACTCACAAACATCACTTTAAATGGAAGATCCCCATAGCCCCCACCCACCCTATGATCGGATCGGCGATTGGTATGGGCCGATACTTATTCCGGCAATCGGCCCCAAAATTCCCGATCGGAGCATCCCTAGTAACATGTAATACTTCACCATAATACATATGTTAATGGTTTGACTGTGTATTTTGGTCCCTGAATACCAGATACATGTAGTTAGCTACATTCTATCAATGGCGGCCATTTGGCGCCATTGGACAAATATGCGATGGCCCTATAGCCAAAAATCTTCCTTCCTCTAACAGTGTGTCAAATGTCATGTTTTTATCATCAAAAGCACAATTCATTCACATCTGCTGTACTATAATGATCCAGCACAGTATCTTTATTTATGGTAGTCTTTTTTTTTATTGCAGTCGTTCTGTCTGTAAGAGACAGATCTTTTCACTCGGTAACACCATTAATAGAAGCTTTGAATAAAACAAATGTATTTCCATACAGCCCTCTATATGTTATATACAAACACAGTTGCTCCATAGCTTCTTGGACAACTGGACTTTAAATCACACTGTACATTTTACATGTATATCCAATCTAATATTTCATATTCCTCACATACTTATGTATCAAATCCTGCTTTATATTTCGTTACTGTAAACGGAAATGTTATTTCTATTGAGAAGTTTACATTTTGGAATGTGTATTTCCAGTCTTTTAATTTGTATTGTTAAATGCTATGTCTTTTTGTGTGTGTGTGTGTGTGTGTGTGTGTGTGTGTGTGTGTGTGTGTGTGTGTGTGTGTGTGTGTGTGTGTGTGTGTGTGTGTGTGTGTGTGTGTGTGTGTGTGTGTGTGTGTGTGTGTGTGTGTGTGTGTGTGTGTGTGTGTGTGTGTGTGTGTGTGTGTGTGTGTGCCTCAGGAGGATGGCGGTGAATGTCGTCTCCACCTCTATGACTATAGAGAACCTGAGTCGTCATGACATGTTAGCGTGGGTCAACGACTCTCTGCAGCTCACTCTCACAAAGATCGAGCATCTCTGTTCAGGTGAGCACACACACAACCACTTCTTTATAAGGTTAAAGGTTTAAATTACATTTTAAGCATCAGTTTGCACGCACTACCTTTAAAGCAGATGTGTGTCTCTGTAGTCGGCGTAAAGAAGTTGGATTCTTTGCAGAATGATTTGAAGGGCTGTTAGAATATTTTTATGTATAGAAAATGTATAAAGAAAGTGTAATTAGAAAGTATGTTCAGGTTTTATGTTTCAGTATTTGTAAATGACCGAAAGAATATTGCTTTTATTTTACTTTTTAATGGTTATTTAATTTTTTTGTTTTGTAAGAAGGGGCAGGTAAAATAAGATGTTCTTCTCCCTGCTCCTTTCCACCATGCGCTATAAAAAACAAACAGTATAAGAGTATAATAAATAAAGGTCTTGAAATTAAATTCCAAATGTACATCAAGCTCTTAAACTAAATGTTTGTTTGTCCCTCAAGGTGCTGCTTACTGTCAGTTGATGGACATGCTGTTTCCTGGGTGCATATTAATGAAGAAAGTGAAGTTTAACGCTAAACTGGAACATGAATACATCCACAATTTCAAAGTCTTACAGGGTTCATTCAAGAGAATGAATGTGGACAAGGTGAGAACACACACACACACACACACCCCACACACACACACACACACACACACACACACACACACACACACACACACACACACACACAAGAAAGGATCATTATTGAGTTACAGTTAAAAAAGAAGGGTAAAGGTATTTCTGACTCTAATTCGACAGAAATAAGAGGAGTGATAGAAGGGGTGATGTGCAAAAATGATCAATTAAACAGGAAACGTTGTGAATACATAGTCAGTATCTTAAAGGTCACCAACATGCTATTTTTAGGCAATAGCATATAGGTCTCAGATATATACAAATATGTAAAAAACATGTGTATTTAGTGTTTTGCTCAAAATACCAAACAGATCACCCATTCTAGCCATGCCTCATATCACTCTATTTCACTTCCTGTTTCAAAAGTGCTGATTTTGGGTATAAAGCTTTAAAAAAAAACGTTTTTGATAACAAATAAAAAGGGAGGGGTCTGAGCTCATGAGGGACCCGGCAGCTACTGTCTAAACTAAATGCTGCCGTGATGAAACGCCATATCATGGATTATCAAGGATTATCTCTGAAACAGTTTGGAGCTCAAAGGCTTTCTCTCTTGCCGGTTATACCGCAAGGTGAGTTCCTTTCTATTTCCTGCTTCTTCACACACATGCTCTCCAGTACAGGTTAGCTCTGAGTGTTAGCGATGCTAATGTGAACACAGACCATATAGAGAACCGCAGTGACGTGTCCTAAAACCCGGAAGGAAGTTAGCATTTTTACCACTGCCGGTTCCTTCGACAAAAGCAATGGGATTCCTCCATAGGGTTTAGGAAAATAGCTGGAAATGAGGTCTGTGGTTGAGACACATTGAAGAGACGGATCACGTTTTGTTCTACGACATTAAATCCATCAGCAGTGACCCCACTTGTGATTTTTGAAGAGTTTACGTGTCTGAAAAACGATGGTTGTTAACAAGTGGCTGAACAGGACTACAGAAGTTGTCGAGGCCGTTGTACGTCATTACGCCGAACACGTAAACACTCCTCTAAGTTAGTTTCTGTTCTGCTTGAAAGCAAGTCCCTGCCTCCTGCAAACTGTTCAAACAAACGCTTCAACTCGTTCCATTTACAATCTGTAGTTTTGAATATGGATCTTAAGTCGGCGTGACGTTGAAGCAGCGACCCTGCTGTAGTTCCTTTATAGCATAACGTTAGCATTTTGCTTCTGGCGACTAGATTTATGATTACAAAATGATAAAAGTAGAAGAGACATGTGGAGATTATCCGGCTGAACAAAACGTGATCCGTCTCTTAAATGTGTTTCAACCACAGACCTGATTTCCAGCTATTTTCCAAAATCCTACGGAGAAAATTGCATTGCTTTTTGACGAAGGAACCGGAAGGAGTTTACTTCCGGGTTTTAGGACGCGACACTGTGGTTCTCTATTACGTCCAAAACAGTCAGGCATTGTTTCTGATAGCAACGTTTCTGATTGGGCCGTGGGTCCACATTTCCGATATTACGTCATATCGGACGCAAATCTGGATCAGCTCCGTTGTTCCCCGTTTTTAGAGATTTGGGTACGGAGGAGTTTTATTTTCTGACGCTGCGTGAGTTCCCTGACACACCGAGGACACATATTTATGTATAAAATACATCAAAAAGTGTATTTTGCATGATAGGTCCCCTTTAAATATAGCCTTCTGTGTGTGGCCAAGTATCATCTTATCCCCAGATTTTGTAATTGGATATTGTAATGTTGTTGTTATTGTAATTTCATATAGTAGTGACCCTTGATCGCAAACTGTTTTTATTGCAGTAGCATTTTCTTTATATCTGTATCCAGGGGTACAGTGTGTCTTATCTGCTGTTTAGAACATATTTTATAGACCATTAGAGCTGCAGCAATTTTTCGACTAATAGGTTAGTTGATAGACAGAAAATATATTACTACAACCAACTACCTTTCATGCAGAAATTTGCTAAATTAAGATTTAGCTTCTGGTTTTGGTCTGACGAAACGAGACATATAAAGACTTAGCCTCGGAATTTGAAAAACTAGGACAAAGGTTTATCACTATTTTGTGAAATGTCATAGCCAAACCTTAAAGAAAACTCATCCCTCTCTCTCTCTCTGTTTTTCCCTCAGATCATCCCAGTGGAGCGTCTGGTTAAAGGAAAGTTTCAGGACAACTTTGAGTTCCTTCAGTGGTTTAAGAAGTTTTTCGATGCCAACTTCGACGGGAAAGAATACGACCCTTTAATGTCACGGCAGGGCCAGGAGGGAACGCCGCCTCCACCAAACCCAGGTACAACACACACTTCACTATCTATATCTGTGTGTGTGTGTGTGTGTGTGTGTGTGTGTGTGTGTGTGTGTGTGTGTGTGTGTGTGTGTGTGTGTGTGTGTGTGTGTGTGTGTGTGTGTGTGTGTGTGTGTGTGTGTGTGTGTGTGTGTGTGTGTGTGTGTGTGTGTGTGTGTGTGTGTGTGTGTGTTGTGTGTGGTGTGTTTTGTGTGTGTGTTTTTGTGTGTGTGGTGTGTGTGTGTGTGTGGTGTGTGTGTGGTGTGTGTGTGTGTGTGTGTGTGTGTGTGTGTTGTGTGTGGTTCGTGTGTGTGTGGTGCGGTGCTGTGTGTGTTGTGTGTGTGTCCGTGTGTGGTGTGGTGTGGTGTGTGTGTGTGTGTGTGTGTGTGTGTGAGAGAACTCAAAGGCTTCATTTCATTGGTTTCACGTCTTCATGGAAAAACATCCCCACCTCTAACCCAGGTGCACACAGTCCCAGCAAACCTAAAAGACCCCCCTCTCGCTCAGGTAACATCTGCTGCATCGTGTGTGTGTGTGTGTGTGCGCGCAGAGTGACTTTTTCTTCATTCAAACTGTTTATTGATTTAAGGTACATTTTAATTGTTTCATTCAGTCTCACAAGTATGTTGGACATTGTCTCTACAAAAGCAGCCTTCACAAGGTTTCCTGCTATGACTCACAAGTTGTTGGTCTGTCTGCCAATCAATATTTGAATGTGCTGCATGTAAATAAGTTGCAAGGCAGGAAAAAGAAGACGTCCAACCAAAGTTACGGTATATTAGAGAACAACAAGTGCGTCAAATCAAACAATGTTAGCAGTGAAGTATTCCAGTCGTGACACGTGAATTGTTATTCAAGGTAATAACATCAAAGCAAACCGCAAAGACATGTATCAATAATCTGTGAGTGTTTGTGCATGTGTGTGGGTTTCCTTTTGTACTTTTATGTTAGAAACAGTTACAGGCCTCTCCTTATCTCTTGAAGGGACTTGTTGACAGGAATGACTTGGCTTTAACGTTGTAAGGTAGGAAGTCGGTTTAGGTTAGGGTAAGTGTTGAGTTGTTTTTGTATGCGATGAGTATGATATCTTATTTGCTTTGTTCTAAGTTGGAGAGAAAAAGGTTGAACCCAGAGTTTAAAATCTTGATATCTCATTAAATGTATTTGCAACATTCAGAAGTTTTAAAGGTTTCATTAATATATGAATAGGCTGAAAAGAGATATTCAAATCTCTGCAAACATGTTCCTTCTTCGCAACTTTTCATTGTTTTTCTCCCAACACAACCCTTTAGTACAGAGAGTAAGAATGACTTACGATACGATATTACTTTATTGGTCAGATCAAGTCTGACATTTGACTTGCATCACAGCAGCTCCATGTCCAACACCAACATAGACACAGTACATGAAACACAAACATTTAACATAACAGCACAATCAGTATTTTCATGACCCTTCAGCGTGCATTTGATCTGGGATTCAGCTCTGTGTTTACTGTGAGGATTGACTGATGCACAAAGGAGTGCTTCAGTCTGACCTTATTGAATCGTGGGACACTTAAAACATACAAATAATTTTGGGTCACATGTATTCTCATATAATTGACTGGTTGCAGCTGCATTGGGTAAAATGAAGTGAATCTGACAGACTAAAGACAACACAGTGCAGATATATAAACATGTGTGTGTATGTTTCTGTCTTCCAGGCCCTGTGAGGACTTCCCCTACAGTACCAAAACCTGCCCCCCCGCCACAGAAGCAGATCATTGTAGCAGCGCCCCGCAAATCCAATAACACGTCCCGTAACGGGGGGGACTCTGAACTCGTGGAGCTCCACCAGCAGGTACCGACGGATGCACCTGTTCAGACATTTCTTTTATTTTTTAACATGATTTTTATCGGGTTTTTTTATATACATACATTAACACATGGGGAAATAACACTCCCCTCCCCCCTCCCTCAACATCGAACATTCAGGGAGACCTCACAGATTGAAATGTTAATACAATCAGATAAAGTAAAGGATGTGAAACAATAATACAAAAAATGAATATGAAAGAATAACTTGTTTCTATATTTAGAGATAGTTATTATTATTATTATTATTATTATAAGCAGCATTATTATTATTTTGTTATCAGTGTTTGATAGCGATATTCATCCATTTTGTTCAGAAATGTCTTTGTTACGTCCCCACTAAGGCCTAGGGGACCTGGAGACAATAACATACAACCAATAAAAATGAGGGAGTCAGCGTAACAGTTGACAAAAGGTTTATTTTGTGTAAACCCCGAACCGAACGGACATATCATTGAAACACTCTGTTGGTGAGGAGGAGGAGGAGGAGGAGGAGGAGGAGGAGTCAAAGGATTGTGCCAAACAAAAGAAACAAGCATAACAAAACCAGGCCTATCTCTACATCTACCCTTCGAAACCAAAACTCAAACAAAAAAACCCTCACTAACTAAACTACAAAGAATTTGACAAAACAATATACAGGGGTGGCAACAAGCTGCTAACCTAGTGTGTCTAAACATTAGTTAGCTACGTGGTGAGAAATGTACAGGGTACCCCAGACTAGTGATGGCAGTTTGACACTGAAGCTTCGAACGGAGCTTCAACCCTGGACTTCCTATTCCATAGAAGCAGTGCTTCGAAGCATGCTTCAAATCACGTGACATATGACGTCCGAACCAGCAACTGCTTCATTTCCTGAATGAATCAGTTGACTGGTTCACGGTCCATTCACGCGATTCAATGCACTGCCTCGTCTCGATTCTGACAGGTTGAAACAGTTTCAAACTTGAGTGCTTCAACACTTTATGTCTGCTCTAAACAATGCACAATGTGTGGGTTGTTGTCGTAGTTTGCGTTGTTGCTGTTGAGTTGTTGTTGGTATTGCATTTGATATCATTATAGAGCAAGCCAGGAAGTAAGATCGGTCGTTCTGGGAAACACTTCGAAATGTGGAGAAGTTGTGAACAAAAAGACAATTATCAGTAATATAAAAACAGTTAAATATTTCAAGCAATAGATAGCCCAGTGGGTCGAGCCGGCGGCACCGAATGCGGCGATGTCCTCCGCGCACCTTGTTCAAAGCCCGGAATAGATGTATTTTAATCATTGCTTTTCAACTTTAATAACTGATAAAAGGCCGTCTCCGCCCAAAAACACGTCCAGCACTCTCTAGTCTCTTCTCAATAACCCAATACACACAATTATCAATCTTTAATTGCAAATAGAACATGATATTCAGTCTTAGTGTGTGTGTGTGCATCGAATATTTTTCAAGGCAAAGATACGTTAAACCCACTGCAGCCTTGCACTTCGCCAGGAGAGGTCGCTGTAACTGAAGCTTCGAGAAATGAACCTATTTCCGACACAATTGTCCAAGTGGTTCGACGCTTCATTCAAAGCTTCATTTTGCCATCACTACAGACAATACCAGGAGCATGAGTTGCTAAACACTGCAGTCAATTGCAGGCTCCTCAATCAGCAACAGGCCCAGAGTGAGAGAGAGAAGACTTCCTGGGTGCCTCCTTTATGGTCGGCGCTGGCTGCTGATAGGCCAGCTGAGGGTGAGAGGATCCAATCAGCCATCAGACTCAGGTGCACAGGCAGATACCGATCAGCTGCTGATTAGCTGTGCAGAAGACAGGAGCCTCATCCCAATACCCCTCCTCGACTCCTCCTTTCCCTCACTCGCGTCCCTTCCTTGCATCTTAGCTCCGCCTCCGTAAGATGCAAGCGAGGGACACGAGGAGGTGACGCGAGGACAGAGGAGTCCTCAGGTATTAATTGGGACGTCCTCGTTCACTCAAATGTCACTCTTCTACGACGTCTGTTAATGATGACATGTGCCCAGCTGTATCCCCTCTCGTCGGGCTTAACTGAATAACCCTTTAGAACCGGCCCATTTGTTGTTAAATATTTATTTAAATGAATGAATCTTTCTCTTGTTAGTCAATGTATGATGGTTGGTCCTGCTTTTGTGTTCCGTTTTGGTGTAAAATGTAGCCTACATTTAAATAAAAAAGTAATTATAGTAATGTGAAAGCCTTTTAGAAATGAATTGCACATAATAATTCCCACGGAGCTGTGAGCACTTATACATTTATGTGACGCTTTTCCACTCATCTTCCAGTTGTCGGTTTTCCTCTGTTGAAATCGACCAGCTGTGAAGGTGGGGGCGGGGCTTTTATACGCGAGTAGTGAAAACACTTCCGCGTAGTCTGCTCGCGTGTATCCTCCCTTTTGTCTCCTCCCGCACACCTCCTCCCGCACACCTCCTCCCGCACACCTCCTCCCTCACCCCTCCTCGACTCCTCCATGTGCATTTCAGCTATTGGGACGTCCTTCAAAATGGAGTGTCTTGATCGATTTCCGGGTCAAGTCCCGGAGGAGGGGAAGAGAGGAGTCGAGGAGGGGTATTGGGATGAGGCTAGGGAGAAGAGAGAAACACAGGAGGGAAGGAAAACCACACAAGTACAGCCTGCCTGGCACGTAACAGTCTTCTATACGTAGAAGTAGTAGTTACCCAACAGTGCAGGTTTATAATTAAATTGCATGATTAATGGTACCTAATTATGTTTATGAAGTTTCTCTGAAAGCCCTGTTTCATATTGAGAGCACCCAAACCCCTCCTCTCTCTGCACACAGCTGTCGGACCTGAAGCTGACTATAGACGGACTGGAGAAGGAGAGAGACTTCTACTTCGGAAAGCTGAGAGACATTGAGGTCCTCTGCCAGGACAGCGAAAGTGAAAACCCAATCTTCAACAAAATCATGGATGTGCTTTACAGTACAGAGGTAAACACATTCAAATTACAGGACACAAGATTTAACACGTTAATAATATTTGCTTACATGCCAAATTAATAATACTTTTTAAGCTGAACGATGGAAGAGAGATGGTTCTCAGTTTTCTATTAATATTGTTTAGTGCAGTGCTTCTCAAACTTTTCTCAGCCAAGTACCCCCTGACCGACCCCGGACATTTTTGACAGAAAAAGCCTATATAAATAATTACAATATAGTGATGTTCCATCGAAAACAAATTAAAAACAGATTTTTCCAAGGAGTTTTTCAATTGAAGTAATATATGTTTAACAAACCAGTGAACAAAATAATATATTATGAAAAACTAGAAATACAATACACAAATGTAACATGTTTATATAAGTGGTTCTAGGAATATTTTATATACAATTTTGTTTTCTATTTAACTTATTGTACTAAGATTATTTTTGTAATCATGCATGGTATTTTTTTAATTAACCTTTTTATTTTATTTTTAACCTCACATACCCCCTGCAGTACCCCCGACATACCTCTAGGGGTCCGCGTACCCCCATTTGAGAATCACTGGTTTAGTAGGTGCAACAATACAGAAGAGAAATTACTTTAGAGTTTCTTGTGAGAATGTCTTAGGAAGACTTAGAGAAGTTCCTGGATAGTCATGAGTTAGTTAATGTGTACAGAATTATGCATTAATAGTTTAGCAAGTAGCGATTAAACCTCTGAATCTGCTTTCTTTGAAACCTGTTTTCCCATTTACATGAGTTTTAAAAATATCAGCGTGCTGCAGAAAGCCAACTGCAGTATCTTTAAGCTGACTCAGAGGTCTGATGGAAACAAATTAAAGCTTCATGTCAAGGTGAAATACAAGGATCTGATCTGGCAGAACGAACAAGGACATCTGCAGTAACACCAACCAGTAGAGATTTACACCTCGGCATATTAGGGACATTGTAGATAAAATAAATAACCTTCGGAGCCGGGGGGAGGGGGTATAATGTAAGAAAAAAACATTTGAGTATTGTTATAAATTTACAAAAGAATTTGGTACATTCTCTGACTATTCACTTCCATTTTCTAGTAAATTCACAAGGTCATTCTTTTTTTTTCTCTGATTATAATCCACCCTCCCCCGGCTCTGGTGAATCATGTTTTGTTTCTCATCCTGACGTACACTGACCTCAGCCTGCTTCCACAGGAGGGCTTTGCACCACCAGAGGATGAAGACATCGACGACGGGGCACAAGGAGACGAGGAAGAGTTCTGATCTCTTCATCATCCTCCACCCTATCATCGTCCTCCTGTTTTTACCCCTTTTATTATTTCCTTTCTACAACTTCCCCTTCCTTCCCCCATCTTTTCCGCGGCTGTCCATATCCATGTTGACTTTTGCTTTAAAGTAGCTGGACTCAACATGACGTTATTCTCACAGAGGAGACAGCTGCACTGCAGGGCTGAGTTAGCCTGCAAGAGAAAAGGTTGACAGCAATGAGATTACAGGAATCCAGCACTCACAGGTCACTTTCTCTCACCATGCACTTTCATCGGTGGCCACACACGAGCATCAGGGTCCTCTGTAGAGTTTACATATGAAACCACAGCAATTTCCACACAATGTGACCAGTTTAAACATATTTGGGCTATACACTTCACTAGGAGACATTATTAATCGATTTAAGACACTTTAAGAAAGAGGCATGCACATATATTTTTAAGATTTTTCTTATGATGACACGTGAACATGCATTAACCCCCTTTCTTCCCCCCGGACATATCACCGACTTTGAACTGCTCATAATGCATAAAGAAGTCATCACTCCCGAATTCATTCATACGGTTTGCTTATGATTGTATTGACGATTTGTTTATGAGACAGTATGTTGTATTAATTATTTATTTATGGTTTTTCTTTGCTACAGTTTCTGGATTTGGGGATATTGAAGATATTGCACAAAATGTAGCAAAACAAATTGACTAAAAGGCCAACATGCAGTGAATATACAGAAAGATGCAATTTTATATATTTTGTAGATTTATTTTAAAGAGGTTTGTTTTTTTTCGATTTGCATTGAAATGTGAAATGGCCAAGTTAGAGGCGTCAGAGTAAATTACAAGACAAATGCCAGGCTTTGAATTCTTTGAGAGCATAACATGTACAGACAGACACTAATAAGTACTAATGTTTGGCTGTGTTGAATGAGTTAATCATTTTAGCTGCTATCATCTTTCTGTTGCCGTATTTAATTGAGTTATTTTACAAAGCGTTCAACCGCCACCACAGGGGCAGCCAAGGAACTATTGGTGTGGTTTATTGTGATCGACAGTGGTTAAACCTGTCTGAGAGAAAATACTTAAAAGTGTATCTCATGGCAGCTTGTGATAAACTTGCATCGTTTGCAGTCACTGCTGCAATAAAATAAAACTCTTGTGTTCAAAAAAAGAAACAAACCTTATTGTTGTGTTTGCTTTCTGACATGTTACTGCTGTATTTCTCCTTAATCAGGAGCAGTTTTGTATCACCGTGCCAATAACATCACAAACACACACTTATATATCATACAAATATGAATTTGTTGATCAAATACTTGGATATTGCTATAATATTGTAGGGTTTCTAATTTCAAAACATACTTACACAATGAGATAAAACAATTATAATAACCATCAGTAATGTGAATATAATGACTAAGTGGGTAAAGATACATAATACACAATTTAAAAACTTGGAAAAGACAACAATTATGCCATATCTTGATATTCCGATATTCAGAATCGAAGAAAATATCTTGTCTCATATCCCAAAATGTATATATTGTCCAACCCTTGTAGTGTAACAACAGGATGTTGAGTCTAGAGAGAAATGATTTGTACTTGAAACCTGTTTTGGGACCAAGAGAGAGGTGTATTGTCAAGTAAACAAAAGTACATAAGATAAATATTGACACAGTGAGATGTCCATTGTGGTCATTGGTTAAGCTTCAACTCAGAGGAGGTTTTGAAAGAGATCCAGGATGTTCGCGCCAAACACTGAGAAACTGCAGCCAAAATCACCGTCTGCTCCCCAGATCCCAGCCATCCTTTATGGTTTAAATGGACGTGGCACTGGTTAGAGATGGAGCCAACAACAGAGAGCACATAAGGACGACATGAATACATTTCTAGTTATTCATTAAAGAAAATTGGTAATCAATCGGCAAATCATCAATAATTTCAGCTAAAGGTCGGGCTGGCTACAGCTCTTCTGTAGCATATGATTTGTATAAACACAATTGCTATTGTTTGTATATTGCTTGACTTAAAGAGCTTATAGGCTACACTTGAATATAATTCACAATATGCGCAGACCCAAGTGGAGAGCTATGCAGCTTTTAAAAGAGGTAGTGTTGAGCAGAAATGTGCAAAATAGAGGATTGTGCAGGGTTCACAGTATAAAAAAGGTTTGCTTGCATGATGTGTCAATATAAGGGTTTGTTAGGACTCTGTTCGGATCCCACACCTTGATGAGAACAGTAAATAAATCAAAGTTTATTTATATAGCCCAATATCACAAAACACGTTTGTCTCAATGGGCTTCATAGATAACAGGAATGAAAGTGCTAAAACATTAATACAATTACAAGACAGACAGAGAGTAAAATATCTAAAATACAAAAAAAACACAATAGAAACAATACAATAAAAGGTCTTAAAATGTAGGACTCAGGATGCCAACATAGGGTAATCTTAAAATACAATGAATTATTTATTCTTTGTGGTTATGTGTGTATTAGTTTTGTGGGGAGGTAAAATGTTCTTAAATCATCATGTGTGAGATGAGAACCCTTTAATGCATTTTTTTTCGATATAAACGCAGACGTGTTTGAATGTGAAGGCAACGGTTTGAACCGGTTTTTGAACGCATCACTCTGACGTCACGCTGACCAAAGAGACGTGGCAGGCGGAAGGTTAAATTATCCGAGCAGTTTGAGTCGTCCTGTTTCATTCAGCAGGAGGAAGGAGTCGCACAACTTTAGAAAAACGACCCAGTATCAGGACTAAAAACATGGCTTCGAACAATGGCTCAGCTGGTAAATGGGAGGTGGTGAAGAAAGGGAAGAAAAATACAAGCGCAACCGGAGGAGGAGGGAAGAACCTGAGCGACAAGAAACCCGGAGCCGGTGGACGGAAAGCCCTGGGAGAATCTAACATCCTGGCATCCAGACGTAAGTGGCCCGAATAGCTGACCCATTTACCCCACAGAAGTAGTTCAAATAAGACTACAAATGTGATACTAATGGAGCTCAATAATCTCTTTCATGTCCGTGCCTTAAAGGTTATGAAAGTCACGGAAACGGGGTCTTAACGGTTATGATATTCATTGAAACGGTCTCGGTTACGATAGTCAGGGAAACGACGTCTTAACGGTTATGATATTAGTAGAAACGGTGTCTTAACGGATATGATAGACATATAAACGGTGTCTTAACGGATATGGTAGTCATGGAAGCGGGGGAGAATTAAAGGGATTCTCATAGCTGTCAACTGATTCGACCTGCTAGCTTTAGCATTAGCATCACGCAGTAAAGCTACTTCCTGCGTGCACAATTTTGTGTTGTCTAATTCTACCATTTAATGTGAGTGGTTGTATTTATAACTTCTCTGCTGACATAATCATTTTAAAAATAAAAGCTTACTGGCCTTTCTGGGCAATGTCGTTATTTCCCATAGAGCTAGTAGGGATAAAAAGGGTTGCAGTTAGCTTGCTAGCAGTGTGTCAACAGGAGCAACGTCATCACTGAGGAGCTGCTTGTGGTAGCATATGTGGGACCTTTTGGTCTTTTTGCTGCCGTTACATTTGTGTAAAAGGTGCTGTTGTTGCGTCGTAATTCAACAGTGTAATGTCAGGCTAATGACTTGGGCATCCCCTTTTTTCCACTTCGCCTTAAGGAACAGCTGTCAGTGCTGAATCATCAATGTATTTTAGGATTTTTCAGGATACCCATTAGCTGATGCAGAACTACAGCTGCTTTTCCTTGGGGTTCACTCAAAAATAACTACATGATTGACAGTTTATTTGGTTTTGCAGACAAACAACAAAACATATCCTAATAATAATCTGTGATTAATAAAATGCATGTGTGGTGTTGTAATAAAGATATGCATGACAGACTGATAAGAGAAACCAGAGGGTTTTTTACTTTATTATTACATCATTTCTGAATTATAGGCTTGAATACACTTAGCTAAAGCATCAAATCCCTTGTATCCCCCTTTTTAAAGGATAAGGATGGCAATATTCAGTTTTTTTAACATGCTGATATAATATATATATAGATATATTCTTTATCATTACAAGTGTACCTGTTAATCAAAATGAAACTAAAACACTTGCCACAGTTCTGTGACAGGTCTAGAGCAGGGATCAAGACTGGATTAACAATTTGGTAAATTGGGGAACTGACCCTCAGTCCCAGAAATCCGGGAGCCCCAAAAGCCCAGCCTTACTGTATGTAAATCAGTTTGAGACCACCACAACATCAGCTGATGGTCGGCATGATGATCAGTTGAAAGAGGAGTCATGGGTGATTACCTGAAGCCCTGGTTGCGTTCCGATAATCCAAAAATCAGCTCCTAAATTCTAACCCTATCTCCTATTCCTTGACCTCCGAGTGAAACGTCACGGGGTTGAGGGATAGTGGATAGGAGAATTCAAAAGGACTTAGGAGAAGAGACTGCGGTACTTTAGAGCAGTGGTTCCCAAACTTGTTTCCAAGGCACACCAAAGGACAAGTAAAAATCTCAAGGCACACCTATTGTGCAAAATAGCCCTTATAACACGTGTTATCACTCATATCATGTAAAATATCTGTAAATGTGCATAATTATTTACTAATGCAAAATAAAATGTGACAAAGACAACTATGTTACTCGTGAAATATTTATTAACGAAGTTCAGAAATTAATTTGAAACTGTATCAAATTAGGCTTCATCAAAGCAGCAACACACTCATTTAAACCAGACAGGTCACAACATTAAAAATGAGGCAAAGGAAACTCAGCAGAAATTCAGCACAGAGAACTGTCAATGCAAGGAAGCTGCATTGTCCATGGTCCTGAACTACAAATTATAAATGTAACATTTCAGCAATCAGCATTGAAACATGTGCTATTGTAAATATTTTGCCGATTTACAAATTAGTGAGATACATGTGCCTGTCGGGGTGCTGAGGAGAGGGCCACTCGCAAGTCCTGTTCAACAGAGAGCCGTGACCTCCTGTTCTTCATGTAAACCAGAGTAGAGAACGCCAACTCCAGAGATGGGGTCGTTACTAAAAAAATGTAATATATTACATATTACTTTAAAAAAAGTAATATATTCCACTACTTCGTTACTATCTACATAAAGTAACTCGTTACTTTACTCGCCGAGCCAGTACGAACTGCGCATGCGTGAGTGGCAATAACTCTCCTTGCCAGCAGGCGGCGGTAGTGTGTATTTGTCATTCAAAACAGGCAACAACCGGAAGACAGAGAAGAAGAACAGACTACGTGATATAAACAAACAACAAATAGCGTGTGCGGTAGCTTCACCTTAGCATGTGTTCTTTGCAGGTGTGTGTTGAGGTTTGACCACGTGGTGTTTCCAGCAGTGGATAACAGCTTCTGGCCTGGACACAGTTTGCACCTCACCGTCACATTCCTGTCTATTCTTCGGACGAACTCAAAGTAATGGGCATACCTCCACCCCTCGAGAGTTATCGCTGACTCAGCCATGTTTATGCAGCACTGCACGTGGAGATGTGGACGCACAAGTCGCGCAGATTACGTGCATATAAAGCTACAAAGTACTGATATAGTAAATAAAAAAATAATTATTTGTTGTGTAGTTGTATATTGCAATAATAATGTATGGTTGTCACAAAATCCCACGGCACACCCGGACACACACACACACCAGTGTTCCGCGGCACACCGTTTGGGAACCACTGCTCTAGAGAATCCGAATGCACTTTCACTATCCGACGTGTTTATGATGCGCCAGCGGACGTCATGAATGTGCGTCTGCTGCTGTGGGGTAACTATGGAAACTACAGTTTTCTATACAGCGGACTACAACATGGATGTATAATAAGAACGAGGGACTCATCTAGAGACTCTGTGCTCTGACGCTGTTGCTTTGCTTTATGAACGGGGACAACAGAGAAACATATTCTTCAGGACCAAAGTTGGAATTGAAATAAAAAAGGAAAGTGAAACTTCTGCTCGTCACCCTCTCCCTCCGGTCCACATTAATACAAATGATCCCAATACGTATGATTGTATGAACTATAAACATATCTTAAAATCAATACAAATGTATTTATTATAAACGTTAGTGCTGAACATCTATCACTGTCTATATCACCATTCAAACATCTTTTAAAAGTTGAACAAACCACACAGCTCAGTAAAGACTGTGAGATGTTGACTTTATTTGATCATTTCAGTAAAAACTAACGTTCATATTTCTCTTTTTGATTATAATACTGATGAACGTTCAGAACAAAGCACTTTGGCAACTTACCACATACGTTTTAAAAAGCTTAATAAGCACCGTAACTTTCATGATATCATTTCTCGGTCATAATCGGTTGTTTCCGTGAACGGCCGACTGTTGAGTGACGGCAAATGCTGCGGCTGCAATGCATTGTGGGGCAGCATTTTCTCCTCTCCTTTCATCAAGGGAGGTCCAGTGGTTCCTAAGCTAAAGGAGGTTATAAAGGAAGTTTGAAACCTCCTTTCCTTTCATTTGGAGAATTGGAACGGCACTTATCATGGCTGCCACTGAGGGACTTCCGGGTCATTTCACTCCGTTAGGAAGGTTCCTAAACTAAATGGACTATTGGAACGCAACCCCTGTCTTGAGTGGAGCATATGTTCGAATCCATTTTGTGCTTAAAACATTGCAAATCTGTAAATGAATGTGTAATA